AACTTGACTAACCATTAATCAATTATATTGCAATAAAACAAACTTACGATGAGCATTCATTGGATAGTATGATAATTTAAGCTGTGCCAATGATTGTCGTCTCAAGTCACGTTCCTCTTTAGCAAAAATTAATGGATTAAGTGTAAACCGTCGACCCATCCGACCAGCAGACAATTTATGTCTTTTGAAATCGTTGTTCATATATGAATCAGAATCTCTATCATCCGTTAGTCTAGCACCATCTGAAAAATTCACTCGAACTTTTCATTCATCATCCTCAAATTTGCTTTTTTATTTTCTCATTTTATTCCAAATTAAATGAGAATGAGAAATGAAAATTAAAATAGCAATGATAGATTTGAAAATAAGTCTATCGTCACTATTCCCCTCAATATATTGATGATATTTTTCTTTATATACATACTGGAGGCCGTCAGCTGTCCTTTTTTCCAGCAATTTAATTTTTGTTTTCATTGATTTTGATCATATAATTTTTAAAAAAAAGTAAATAATTAAATAGACCTACTAATTAAATTATTTGTAGTTGTTGGGAAAAAATAATTACGATTGAATTTATTTATATTCAAAAACAAAATTATTAAATTATTTCCAATCATGATTTAACACACAAAAAATCTGTCAATTTCTTTCTCTGTCTATTTTTTGTGATTTGCAATAAATCTATTTAAAAATTAGATTTATACAAAGTTGATCCAACATCATCAATAGTCATTTAAAAAAAAAAGTTAGTTGAAATGATAAATAAATGACAACAAAAAAGCAAAAAAGAATGAACAACAAACAAATAAATAAGGATAAAAAGGGTGAGATAATCATTTAAATTCAGTACAGCAATTTATGCATAAAAATAATTCTTTCCAGTATTAATTAATTTAAAATAAAAAGTATGAATTTGTGAATTTTCTTGTGCAAAATGATAGATTCAGTAAATTCTATCTGAAACGACAAAATTGTTCCGGTATTAACCGGAAGAAAAAAGAAAGAAACTTACGCATTTTTCAAATACTTTGAAATGCCAAATGGAGCAACTACTCGTGACATATATCCCTTTTGTTTTTTCTTATTTACTGAAAATTTTCCTTAAATGAATTTATGCGAAATCTAAAAAATATGTTTACATTGAAATGTTAATATTATTTTTTTGAAATCGAAAAAGATCAGCCAAAGAAGGAACAAGAATGCATTAGTTCTTATACAAATTTTAGTCAATAAGTTGACAATATGTAATATCTTAAATGAAATATACAAAAATTTATTCAAAAGACTATAAACTTATGTGGCAGATTTTCTACTTTCTCTAAAATTTTACAATCTTTAAACATTCGGATTCCAAAATTAAATGGATTAGCTGATCATTAACGATAACCGATTAGTGTGTTCTGAATAAGCATATGATAATTAGTACGAGAATTAAACAAAGAAATTTATATGAAACTACTTAATAATTTACATCAATGATAATAAAACTATTTAATTTCAATTCTTTACTTTAATCTTAAACTTTACTATATTTCTTTGCAAACCAAACATAATCATGGGTTTTTTATCTTTGAAATAAAATTTGTAAAATTTTTTTATCTTTTATTTCTTATCTTTGAAATAAATTAATTGCTGCTTTGTTGTGAAAATATTTTTCATTCAAAGCCAGATTTAGTCAATAATTTTTTCCTTCTTTTTCGCTTTTGAGGAAAAATTTTTTAATGAATTCGAAATTAGGAAAAATAATGAAGGTAAGTAATAACAGGTAGTACTTAGTAAACTCTAAAAAGCGTCGCATTTTGCTGATTAGTCATCCAAACAATTTCAAATGATTAACCATGACAACCATTTTACCTCTACTCGATTTGTTCACTTATTTTGCTCACAAATATTTCATGCATAATCATTTTGATATTACTCCCATCAAAGTTTTAAAATTAAACATTCCTAAATTTCTAAAATTCTTTGCCTTAGAATGTAATCACTCCTATTTTCTAATCACTAAATCATCTTTCCTACTTTTTAAAATTATTTGTTATAATAATTATCAGTGTAGCAAAGCTATTTATAAATATCCTGCATTTTATTATTATTATTACGCTATGATATTAAATTTTTAATATGATAAAAAAAAGAATAACTAAAAATGTCTTCTATAAGTAATTCAGAAAAAAACTAGTAATGATATGCGATTAAAAGTAATAACAAATACTTTGTGAAGAATTAATTTTAACGATTTTTCAATAAACTGACCAACATTACTGCAGCGGTAAAACACATCACTTTAATAAGATGCAAATACAAATGATATCATTGATCGTAATATTAATGTTTTAAATTATGATAAAATAAAATTAAGAAATATATACTGTATTAATTTAATATTAATAATTCCTACGTCTAAATGATACTATATTTTATCTCATTTTAAAATTTCAATTTTTTGCTTTCTCTCTCTTAATAACAAAATATTATAATTATAGGTTTTTCAACATTAGAAGTTTTGATTGAATAATTCAAAAATAGCAAAATCATTGATGACTGAGAAGTCAACGAAAAAAATGTAACTATTATCAATCATTTACATTTTAAATTATCTTAATTTATAAAAGAATTGCTTTATAGTTCAATATATATTTCAAAGCAATACTGTAAAATTTTTATATAACGTACGAATATTGTCGTGAAAACGAAACCTCAAACAAATAGTGAGATAAATTTCTTTGTCATTGTATCTTAATGCGGATGAAACCATAAATCATTTCCAACATATCTATATTCCTTAAGTTCCGCTTTATTTACGGTACTTGAAAGTTCACTGTAAACCACGCCCATCCTCTAAGATATATAAGCCTAACCCCAGAGGGGTCAGGTCACTGTCGTTTTTTTTGAACTTCATTGCTTCTACATACCGCTGCTGTTCTTAAATTGCTGTTTTCAATAAANGNTAANGACTCCGATCGTCGTGTATTTTTACAACTCCTCCATAATTCCCCTCACATCAATAGTACCTCATCTAATAAGATTTGCTCTGGGTTAATCTACCCCAAAATCAGCTCGGCAGTAAAAGATATCTGGCGGCCATCACACTTTCACGACAAATATCATACAACTTCAGATACAACAATGTATACCATACCTAACAGCTAAATCAGGATATCATTGCTTCAATACTAATGACACTGATATAGTTCGTTCTACATTTATTGCTCGCACAAATAAGATAAAAGAAGAAAACAAATTGATGCAATGGATATAATTAAATAAATTGATCTTCAGCATGCCATATTTAATAAGAATGAATGTGATATGCTAATATTTGCGCTAACAAACAAGCCATTTTGCGTGTTTGGTTTAATTTTCTTTTTTTTGCTTTATTGGCTTATAAATTATGCTTTCAAGTCAATGAAGCTGAAAACTTTGAAATTGTTAGTGTAATTAATAGATGCATTTCCGTGAGAAAATGTTGTTCGGGAATGGTAAGACATCGACGTTTTTCAGTGAAATAGATGAAGGTGCTAAGAAAAAAATTGTTTAGTTGTGGTAAACTAATCATCTAAACATTTTTAAATTATTAAAATTTTAACAGTTGAAAAGTTCATGCTAGAATTAATCACTGATCATTAAACAATGGATTATGCTATTTTATAAATGCTGGATATTTGTTGAAAACCAGTCAGAAAATATTGGTGATGTTCAAAATAGAAGAATAATTTTAAAGAATTTATGAAACGATTAAATATCAAAATGGAATTACACTTAGTAAGCGAACGAACGAGTAGCAAAAAGAATTGATAGAAAATTTCCATTCAAATTTGATAATGAAAAAGTATTAAAGAAAACAAAATGTAATATTAATTTCATTAAAATTACATAGATACTAAAAGCTGACATTATCTCGATCATTTTGAGTACCACAGTATCCGTGGACAGGCAAATTCAGATAAATATGAGTTGATATATCAGAAACAAATAAATAAATTTTTAATACGACTCAAAAAATGGCTGTTTTTTTAAAATATATATTTTAATAGGACGACAAAATTTGAATCCATTTACTATTTGGATAGTAACTGAATTTCTTGAAAATTGGAAGATTCGTTTATTTTTTAATTTGCTATAACTATTAAGTTTTCATGCATTTGCATGCCAAACGATCTGATTGCAATTTTCAGATGTCACATTAATAGAAGACAAATAATTATTTTCATATTTGATAAGAACTTACTCTTAGTTATTTCCAATCTCAATGATGACTTTCTTTTAAGTTAATGACAGTCGTCTGGATGAATTCATCACAAATTGAGATGATAGGATGAAAATTCATTAAAAACCTGTGAAAATATGAAGTTATTTTGCTTTCCCATCCACATGCCATATATTATATTCCATTAAACATTAAAAAAATATCAATCAAGGAAGAAAATATTTTTGTTGTTGATTTTTCTTTAATGAAAAGCAATCAATTATTGTTATTGTTATTATTGTTATTTTAGAATTATTTAAGCTTTCGTTGTGAACTTAATTTCTCTTTTGATATTTTCAAAATATCCGTTCTCGTTGACATTCAGTTACATTCATGTGACATGTGTGATATTACAAGGTAATTTATTAAGACGTTAATTGAAATTAATTATGCTCCAATAAAACAATATCATTTTCTTTTTTCCTTCAAAAAAATTGAAGGAAGCTAATGTTTATTAATTACCATTTTTTACACTATTTGCATATTTCCTGAAAAAATAAAAGCAAGTACTATTAGTACCTTATCAGCACTTCTATTACTTTATCACTTCCACTATTGCACAGCAAACTGCAAAACAAGCATTTACTAAAATTTAGTATATTTCAGCTGATGACTGAAATCCTGTCATCTCCCAAATTCTATTAATAATAATTCTGAGTGTTTTACATTCTAAGTATTGTATCATCCAAAAATATATTCGAGTGAATTTCAAGAGCTCATTCTCTTTTCATGTCAGACAGAGTTTAATTTACATATAAAACAGCGCAGCTGAGTGTATCTGAAAAATTAACATCCAATATATATTCCAAATTTTTTACTTAAAAATACACAATATAAGTCAAATTTTCTTTATTCACATTTAGATTGTTATGCGAGAAAAAATAATTCATTTAAATTTCCATAAGTATTATATTATCATTTTTTTAATTTTGCATATCAACAAGGATTAATACTTAAATTCAAAGCATTTTAGGGCAATTAAATTATTCGAACAAAAATTCGCCTCACACTTTTACATAAATTTAGTGTATAGTATTTTAGTCATTCAGAAGAGTATAAATAATAACGAAAATTAAATCATACTGCAAAAATTAATTTTATTAATATTAAAACTAAAAAATAGAACTAAGTTGAAGTTCGATAATATTACTGCAACAAATTTTTGGTTGATATTAATATTTTTAGTACTATTTAATCCAAAACTGACAAATTTTTACTTCAAATATGACTGATGTCTTCTTTTGTCAATATCACGTTAATCTCTTAAAATCACACGTTAAAATGACTAATTAAAAAATAAATTATCTCGTAAAAATATGAAAAATATTACTTTTGCATTATCATCTGAATTAATAAAAAATAAAATAATTAAAAAATAATAAATAACATCGCCTCGTTATAAGAATAGCAGCAACATCAACAGAAATAGCAACCATCTTATATAGACTGAAAATATTTCCAAATTAATTTCAACAAATTTTATTATGAATAAATTGCGAATAACGATTAGGCAACTAATCGAGATGAATCAATCACGACATGAAAGTATGAATTTTGGTACAGCACATATTAACATCAAATTGAGTAACATAAAACCATGATGTCAACATTTAACATATTAAAAAAAACAACTGAGCATTTTTTTGAATAATTTTCTAAAATTTAGCAAAAAGAAAGCATTTGGCACTACTTTAAAAAAAAGATACGCCTAAAAATAGATTTATCGATTATCCATTTTCAATATTTTTTTTTTCAAGTCGGTTTTTAGTA